CAAGGAATAATTTTCATTACAAACTTTTCCAATTTTATGCATTTATTAAAATTTTACAGCGCTGCGAAACGAATACTATTCTCCAGTATTCCAAAATATAAATTGAAATTGTATAGTTTGTCTACGTTTTTTAATTTAGTGCTTGCTCCATTTTATAGTGATTATATTATCCTAAAGTTTAGTTTTTAAAACCAGATAAGAATGGAAAGTGGGTATACGAATGCTGATAGCAGCAAATCTGCCAAACATTGATGAAATGATGTTGGGAATATTTCTTGCATCAAACAGATTTTTGTTCATCAAAAAACTGCCATAAGTCTTGTAGGTTTTTAAGTTAAGTTTAGATTTTTTACAAGAAATGTAGTTATTTAAGAGGAATGTGTAATTAAGATGCTTTGTTTTTAGGTCATCGAAGCTATCATATGGAGATAATTCAGTAAGCTATGAGTTTTCTGTTACGAACATTTTGTAGATAAAGGTCTAAACTAGGGTCTAAATTTATAAAGTAGTTCTTAAAACAATTTTTCTTGGAAAAACAGTTTTTATGGCGGGCACTCTTATGGAACCTTACATTGGGTGCAGTCGAGCAGAAGACTCTGGCAACTTATTCACAGTTAACGTACGTGAAAAATGTGCTACTCATGCCAATATAGTTTTCTATATTACGTTTAATGAGCAATCGTCGAAAACGCTTTTGGATTTCTCTACTCCATGAAGCATTTGAATGATACAGCATCCTTGGAACCAGATTTACCCGCCTGGGATACTTAGCTGTGCCACAGAAAAGGTGGCTACTGAGCCCTATACTACGACAAAGTGTACTCCATGGTAGGGCACCACTTAGGTAGTTATAATTGATCACGAAATCTTTTAAACTATTTACGCTGGGGTTACGTCGTTATAAATGTCAGGACTGTGACGTCACAGACACCGCCATGACACAAAACAGCGTTTTGGCGCTAGAATAAAAATCTACAATTTAAATTGCATAAATTTGCAGTGATATTTTGCTGAAATATCATATTTTAAAGTAACAGTTATAACTGGTTTTAAAAAATTTGTCATCTACCCTATTGCTGACTCAGATTGTACAAGGTTCGCTTGTGCTTCCTTCACTAATAAAGAGTAATAAAAAACCACTTTTTGTTAAATTAGAATGGTAGTTTCTTGTGTTGATAATGTACAACGGTTAAACCGATCCGTCTGCAGATTTATAGGAACACTTGCCAACATAATGTCACGTAGAGAAATTTCAGTTCATATTTCAGATGCAAATTTAGGTCAGAAATTATATCTGCATCCCGTGAGTCTTAAGGAAATTATGTAAAGTAGAATCAGTCTAAGATTATCACCAAAGCTTCCTTCTTTCTTGGATAATTGATGTTGTATAACGTACCACAAACAGGAGGTGTTTATACAAGGCCTCGTGAGTAACGGGAACATCAGTCATCTAGGGTGTTAACAGGAAGGAATTGACGTATGGAATCCAAAGGTATAAATGGGAGATGCTGATAGTGGTTTCCAATGTGCCCCCGTCGTTATCTGTACCGGTATTCCCAATACTTGGGGTAACAAAACGCTGAGAATTCTAAAAGGTAAAGGATTTTTGTAAATAAGCCAATATAGTTTTCTATACTGATATGTTTTATGAAAAAAAAATTTTGTTTTCTAAATATATGATTATTTACTATTTCTAAATATACAGGGTGACAATTTGAAAACTTACCACCCCCCATATCTTAGTAAATAAAGGAGATATTTAAACAAATCAAAATCCGTTTCGGTAATTCGGAGGGGGAATCACAATGACATAGTTGGCGACGCACCCCCTCCAACCCCCTCCGCCCCAGCCACCGCAACTTTTAAATCTTAAATAGTGACCCCCCATGTGTGATACGTCGTTGGAAAGCTCTGAAAAAATGCTTTCCAACCATACCAAATAGCATTACATTTAGGTTAGTAATTATCGTGCAAATCAAAAAATAAACATGGAAAACCGTATTTAACTTGAACTTCCAAAGCCGACTCGACAGCAACTCATTTTTGACCGCCAGTTATAATCTATTCTCAAACTCTTGTCGAACCTTTTTTAATGTTGGTTTTGCAATATTTCGACATTCTTGGATTATTATCTGTCTTGGTTCGTCTATGTTCGCCGGTTGCGTTTTAAATACGACAGATTTCAAATGTATCATATTAGTTTATTTTTTGATTTGCACGATAATTACTAACCTAAATGTAATGCTATTTGGTATGGTTGGAAAGCATTTTTTCAGAGCTTTCCAACGACATATCACACGTGGGGTGTCACTATTTAAGATTTAAAAGTTGGGGTGGCTGGGGCGCAGGGGGTTGGAGGGGGTGCGTCGCCAACTATGTCATTGTGATTCCCCTCCGAATTACCGAAACGGATTTTGATTTTTTTAAATATCTCGTTTATTTACTAAGATATGGGGGGTGGTAAGTTTTCAAATTGTCACCCTGTATGAATATTTACAGGAAGCAACGTGACACTAAAGCATGCAAGCGTAAATGTCTACAAATCTTCTACGCCAGAGTCCGCCTCGCTCTCTGACTCGTCCTCACTTCCACTTTCCATCCCTCCTGGGATGTACTGCACCACTACCTCTCGGTGGGGATTGCCTCTCACCACGGCGTCAAGCGCGCGACATCTTTCCGCGGCGCAGATGCAATCCTCCTGCGCCTCTCCCTTCCAGGGTATTGCTGCCTGTACCCTTCGTACGATGATGTATGGATGTAGCTCTCTCAGGAATTCGATCTTCTGATTCCCGACTACGACTACCTCTTTTTATTAGAGAAAAGTCTCGGCAATGTCTCCCGCAGTGTAAGGTAGGGCGTATAGCCCTCCTGCCAACGTAACCCATGCATGTGCTTCGTTATCCATGTATTACTCATCTTTTCTCTAAAGGACAGCGTTCTCTCCGGATAAGGGGGTTGGAGCAGCCACAGTAATTCAAAGAAGAACCACAACACCAATGAAACTGTCGACCGTAAGACCCACTAGTATGAGAGCCAGTCCAACACTAGCCAGGAGACCTCTACCTAAGCTACCAGTATCTGTTGAAACTCCATTACCTGAAACCGAAAACGAATATTATTTGCAACCCATTCTGCAGACACCACCCCCTCAACGTCAACGGGAATAACAACTTACAAGCCACACCCAACTACAGGAAGTGTTCCGTTGGGATTATCTTCTACATATGTACGAATGGACAAATTTATGGCAATTGGTAACACACGAATTCGTAAGTGAAGTGCGAACATATATGTGCGGGACATTACTTACACCAAAGAGTATGGTTACTCTTTGCTTACACACTTACCTAATTCGGCATAGGTCAAATTACTAATTGAACATTATATTATTATTCACCACTTTAATGATAACAGACTGTAATGTTATACGAACTGTAAACCACTAAATCGTGAACGCAACGAAAAATTTTGGCTTGTGTTAGATAAGACTTGCGGTATGGTATGTCCGGGCCAATCTACCGAACATTGAATTTTTTTTATCTTATACTTACCTAGGTTGTAACTGCAATTATTCTTTTTTCTCTTTCTTATGTATTATTTTATGTATTCATTTGTACTTCATTTTATTATTGGCTTTTTTAATACGATGTATTTTTAAATAATATTAAGAGCATGGTAGTAATCAGTCCTAAACATCGCAGCATTTCTTTTACATTTGGGTTCACGCCATTTCACTCCTTTAGTAGGACTTCCTTGAGGACAAGGAATTTTCAAGCGGGAGGCAAATGTCACGTAGAGAAATTTCAGTTCATATTTCAGATGCAAATTTAGGTCAGAAATTAGATCAGCATCTCGTGAGTCTTAAGGAAATTATGTAAAGTAGAATAACTCTAAGATTATCGCCAAAGCTTCCTTCTTTCTTGGATAATTGATGTTGGATAACGTACCATAAACAGGACTTTGTGTTTATATACAAGGCCTCGTGAGTAACGGCAACATAAGTCATTTAGGGTGTTAACAGGAAGGAATTGACGTATGGAATCCAAAGGTATAAATGGGAGATGCAGGGATGTGCTAGAGAGGGTGTGTATATAGAGTGTGTGAAGATAAAGTGGTATTGGTAGATCAAGAATCATGTTAGAAATGTAAATACTTTCTTTATGTAATTTGGCACTTCTTTTTACATTGCTTGACCAAATATATGTATAAAAAGTGATCGATATGTGCGTTCGTTGATACCGTAATCCTGGTTGAAAGTCACACCACCTCTCGTAAATGCGAGCTACAACCCCAGAGTGTGACAATAATAGGGGATAGGTATGCTATATACGGTCCCCTGTCAAAAACCTTCTAAAATGGATTCCACAGGACACAGAGAAACTATTTTAAAGTGAGTACCTATGCATTAGTAGTAAAAACTGCAAATCTAAATGAAACACAACAATTAAGAAATGCGCACCACTAGAAATACTTTTCTACTAATCTACTATTAGTCTTTTATTCTATTTACTGTGGTCATATGTCATGTAAAAGCATTTCAAATTTTGCAATTTGTTCGTATATATGCTTTCCACTTTACATCTATAAAAAAAAAGCAGAGCCGATCTTTTTCCTTTGAAAAAATGATGCAAACATTATGAATTTTAGCTTGTTTCCGAATGTTTAATTACTGTGATACAACATATCAGTTTAATGTTAAGTGCTAAAACAGCTTTGAATAATGTTTTCAAGCTGAACTTCGCGCATTCACTTGATCTAAATTATTATTATGTAGCGTTGGATTTATTGATTTATATAAATAATATTGTATAGTAATATATAATACATTATTTGAGTATCAGCTACTTACTTGCGACTATATTAGTACTCAGATGTAGACAGTGAAATATACATAGGTACTCATGGTTTATAGCCTACAAATCAAAAATGGAGTAGGTAAGTTTCTTCTTTTACCTATGTGGAAAAGGTGCAGGTTTACTTTCTGATGATTAAGATACCAATTCAATAAATTATTATTATTATAGACTTACTACAGGTTTTAATCTTAACTCTAACTAAAAACTGCACTTCAAAAATTAAAACAGCGTTTAAAATTCATGTCCGGATTAGAATAGCAAAAAACCAAAAATGCGTTACTTAAGCAGTATCACCTTTACTTCATCTTTGTAATTGTAAGGTTTTAGGCAGCACACTTTTATGTAATTGGGATGGCATTCGACGCTGTAATTCAAATCATTAAAAAAGGTGGTTTATTTTGGAGTTACTTACTTCGGATCTATTATTTCGCACAGATGATTGTTCATGCACACACAAGAACTTTCCGATTTATTGTAAGATACATTCCTTTCACTTCCAATGGACTTTGCCGACGTATCCATCACCACATAAATTACCAAGAGTAAGAAAACATGTACTTTCATCGTAGCTGTGTAGCAATAGCAGGATGTCAAGATACAATGACAAGGTTTGGTGATTTATTTGTAAATATATAGGTCAAAACTATCGTATTTATTATGAATCACGTCTTTTATCAACAAAATTGTGTATAGTCACTTATCATTGGACTACATATATTTTTCGAGAGGCTCTTTTGTTTACAAATGAGTGGATAATATGTGTGGAAATTCCACTTTATCATAACACCCGTCATGTTGTTGGTTACAATTCTTTTTAATTATAAATATTCAACAGTTTTTACTAGTTGGTAGTCAAAATTGTAGAATTATGAGTGAGTCTTGTTTTAATAATATTTATTAACTTTATTTCTATAGGTAGATGTCATTTAATTAACCTCTGATATGTAAACAAGATGAATTATTCCCAAATAAACCCACATTCTTTATATTAATGAAAATTGTTAATTCTTAAGAGATTTTATTTACATTATTTACTTAAAACATGTTTCACAAAGAACATGTATCATCAATACCATCAATAATCATAATTAAATTAATTTACTTGGTAGAATCTGCGATAATAACCATATTAATCATTGGGCTGTTAAAAGGTTTAGTTCTCACTTCTGGTGTACGCATCAAGCCCGTCCCCAAGTGGTCAAGGTGGGACTAAGTAATATCAAAACATGAAGAAAGGAATACTTTAAAATGGGACTTTCTCGCAGGGTAATGTTTGAAAATTGTCTCGCAGGGCCGCAGAGGCCAAGTTTCATTTCTTTGTGTGCGGTGGTGGTGGGGTATCCCTTGATACTCGTATACAGAGTGGCCCAAGAGAAGTATACAGAGGGCTTTATTAGGGTATTAAATTTAGAAATTTCGAAAAATCCTCGAACACGTCAATTTTGTATTCGAGGGGGACAACTTTTGGAATACAAATCACGAACCCAAGTCTTCACCCCTCTACGTAGGGAGCTTAACCCCTAAAATTTTAAATGGAATCCTATGGCAAATGGCACATTAGTCCGGGAATAGAGACCAGAAATGACCATTCCTGCAAAACGAGAAGTAGTTACAATTTTTTTTGCATGTCATGTAGGAATACCTGGTGGTTAAGAATCCAAGTTTTCGACCTCCCACCCCTTGTGCTTCCCCCGTACCACCCCTAAAACCAAAGAAATTTGGTTGGTTTTTTAGTTTTTCAATCATATCTTTTTATAGGTTCACTTTACACAAAAATATTGTTATTAGAAATTGTAGAACATCAAATTTTACATAAATTTGTCATATACTTTTTTTTCGTAAATTTTTTATTTCAAAAGATACAGAGTTTCAAAGTTGTTTTTATTTTGAAGATTCCGAAATTTCTATGTATGTACATATTTTAACGAAATTGTATGTTATCTCTATAATCATAAGATTTATATGAGAAAATAACTCGATTATGAAGCTATGGTGCTATAATTTCGGTACCCTGCACCCCTATCAAAGGGGATGATAGCGCTTCAACCCCTTGGTCGTAGTAGGTATTTGAATCACTGTGTGATTATGGTGCTTTCAAATACAATTATCAAATAAGAAAAGTGGTGTTACTTCATTTTAACTCCTTTCATCTCTTACAAAAAGGGATGATTACTTCAATCCCCTATAGTTGTGATTGTTCAACTATCTAAGATTATATCGCTTTCGAACACAATATACAAATCATTATTTTATATGAACATGAATAGTAAACATTTTTTATTTGCAATGTGTATTCAGAAATGTCATTATCTAAGTGTGATCGAGCAATCAACAACCGAGGATTAAACCACTCATTTCAGTTGGGGGTGGTTAAACCGGAACGAGAATANTTCAATCATATCTTTTTATAGGTTCACTTTACAAAAAAATATTGTTATTAGAAATTGTAGACCATCAAATTTTACACAAATTTGTCATATACTTCTTTTTCGTAAATTTTTTATTCCAAAAGATACAGAACTTCAAAGTTGTCTTTATTTTGAAGATTCCGAAATTTCTATGGATGCACATATTTTAATGAAATTGTAGTTATCTCTATAATCATAACATTTATATGAGAAAATACCTCGATTATGAAGCTATGGTGCTATTAATTTTGGTATCCTGCACCCCTATCAAAGGGGATGATAGCACTTCAACCCCTTGGTCGTAGTAGGTATTTGAATCACTGTGTGATTATGGCGCTTTCGAATACAATTATCAAATAAGAAAAGTGGTGGTCTTACTTCATTTTAACCCCTTTCATCTCATACAAAAAGGGATGATTACTTCAATCCCCTATAGTAGTGATTGCTCAACTATCTAAGATTATATCGCTTTCGAACACAACTTACAAATCATTATTTTATATAAACATGAATAGTAAACATTTTTATTTGCAATGTGTATTCGGAAATGTCATTACCTAAGTTTGATCGAGCAATCAACAACCGAGGATTAAACCACTCATTTCAGTTGGGGGTGGAAAGGGTTAAACCGGAACTAGAAATACAGCGTGTTTCAAAATGAATAGAGGGGTTTTAACATGTTATAATATTTAATACATCAAACTTACAGCCACAATTGTTATATCAAATGAAAGAGAAACTCAAACAGTTTTACATTATAGCCTACAAGTGTTCAATGTGAGCACCATTCGTCACTTGGCATACGTCAAGACGGTATGCTAGTTCTTCCCAAACTTTGATGAGTGTCTCATTAGTAATTGCTGCAACAGCTGTTTCAATCCTGTTTTTTTATATCGGGAAGGTCGGCTGGCAGTGGAGGCACATACACACGGTCCTTAATAAACCCCCAAAGATAAAAATCACACGGGGTTAGGTCGGGTGACCGTGGAGGCCATGCGAAACAAGCCCTGTCATTAGGCCCCTTACGGCCAATCCAGCGGTAGGGTATAGTTAGGTTAAGCCAATCGCGTACCTCATTATGCCAGTGAGGCGGCGCACCATCTTGCTGAAAGATGAAGTTTTCTGGTTCATCATGTGTCAGTTGAGGGAAGAGCCATTGCTGTAACGTATCCAGATAAGAAGTACCAGTGATAGTTGCTTCACCAAAAAAGAAAGGACCATACATTTTCTGCCGGCATATGGCACAAAAAACATTCAATTTAGGAGAGTCTCGTTGCACTTGTACCCATGTGGGGATTTTCTGAGCCCCAAATCCTAACATTATGGGTGTTAACTCGACCACTAAGCTGAAAGGTCGATTCATCACTGAAGACGACAAGATCCAGAAAATCTTCATTGTCATGGAACAACATGTCGTTAGCGAAGTTGGCACGTAAAAGATGGTCGGTAGGCTTCAGAGCCTGTAACAACTGCAAACGATAAGGACGTAGCTGTAAGCGTCGCCGTAAAACTCTCCAAACAGTCGTCACAGGAATTGCTAATTCACGACTAGCCTTCCGAACGGATTTCATAGGGCTACGCGTCAACGAATTACGCACTTGCTCAACGCTCTCTTCACTAGTTCGTGGTCGTCCCGTACTCTTGCCTTTACAAAGGCAGCCAGTGTCTTGAAACTGATGATACCATCTACGAATGTTGTTATCACCTGGAGGAGCACAACCGAACGAATCCGGAACGCACGTTGCACAGTAACAACAGATTCCGTCTTTGCAAACTGTAAAACACAAAACGCTTTCTGTTCTTTAGTCGCCATCTTTGCTATTAGCGCTTTCTAGCGGATTGCGGCGGAAACATACGCACTGATGCCAACAAACAAAAACTGTTTGAGTTTCTCTTTCATTTGATATATCACTTGTGGCTGTAAGTTTCATCTATCAAATATTATAACATGTTGAAACCCCTCTATTCATTTTGAAACACGCTGTACTTAAAAAATATAAGTAATAAGCGTTGTACTTACCCTCTGACTAACATCAATCGCCACAAGGGGTTGAAATATTCATTCCTTCCGGGGAGAGAGGGGGGGGGGGGGAGAAGCTGAACTGAAACAATGTTTTTTATTTCAAACGCATATTAGAAAGCGCTACAATGTCACAGTGATTCAAATATCCCCAATAGCAAGGGTTGAAAGTTGAATTATTATGCCTCCCCTTTGGTAAAGGTGCAGGGTAGGGAGATATTATATCACGATAAATTCAAGATATTTTCTCATAAAACTCTTAATTATAGAGATAAAAATTAAATTTTGGTTAAAACATCTACATAGAAATTTCAGAATTCTTCAAAATATAAGCAACTTTGAAGCTCTATATCTTTTTTATTAAATATTTCACAAAAAAAGTAATGTATATCAAAATATGTAGAATTTCTACAATTTATCATAACAATATTTTTTTGTAAAGTGAACCTATAAAAAGATATGATTGAAAAACTAAGAAACCATCCAAATTTCAAGGGTTTTGGGGGTGGTACGGGGGAAGCACAAGGGGTGGAAGGTCGAAAACACAGATTCTTAACCACCAGATGATTGTCAATAACATGCAAAAGAAATTGGAACTACTTCTCATTTTGCAAGTTAAAACCCTCTTTCCCTGGACTACATTTTTGAAAGCCAATTTAATCGTGATTACTAATCTGCTTTGCTTTTTAAATTCTATTGGTTCGTTTCGGAGAACTGACAGGTTCACTTAAGTTTAACAAACAAATTGAAGCGTCAAAATAAAATTTTAATACAAGATGACTTAGATCGCATTTGTTTTGGTTTACAAAAAAACATTTCAAATGCGAATTATCTCCGAAACGAATCAATAGAATTTAAAAAGCAAAGCAGATTAGTAATCACGATTAAATTGGCTTTCAAATAATGTGCCATTTGCCATAGGATTCCATTTAAAATTTTACGTAGCTCCCTACGTAGAGGGGTGAAGACTTGGGTTCGTGATTTGTATTCCAAAAGTTGTCCCCCTCGGATACAAAATTGACGTGTTCGAGGAATTGTCCCCCTCGGATACAAAATTGACGTGTTAGAAGTAATTTTCGAAATTTCTAAATTTAATATCCTAAAAGCCCTCTGTATACTTCTCGTTGGGCCACTTTGTATTTTATGTCGGGTGGTTTAGAAACTGTCCAGTACGGTGTATTTTGTTCACTTTTTCCTTTAGGTTTTGATACCGATAAGATGGATGAGGAATGCCGTTTCAAGAGACAATATTCCAACGATTTACAGGTTTATCATCAA